GAATTTAAATTGTATAGATTATAAAGATAACAGTGACTTTCTAAAGGGTCTATGAGGAACTGGAATCTTGGAATCAATGCTTCTGCCATAGTACTCAATAAATGAGAGATTAACCCCCAAATCCTTAAATGTTTGGAAAGGGTTAGAGACCACAAATGATTGTGAACAATAACAAAGTCTTCTGGTTGATAACCCTGCCTTTCAAATTTGGCAGTTGCAGATGCAACTTAAAATATCCTGTACCTTTGTGTATACATTCAAATGAAATGAGGAAATTGAGACAATTATGTAAATAACCCAGACTTGAAATGTCTTTTTTCTACCAAAAGAAAGGTTTTGGCCAGAGTTATCCAGAGTTAACCTCAAATCTGCAAATCTAGTAGTGGTGCTAATTCTGGTAAAGTACACTTCCAACTTCCATCTTTAATCTCAAAGTTACTTTCTTTTCAACATTTTTTAACACCAGTAACAAATTTACTAAGCAACACTGTAAGATAAAAAAGTATTCCCCACTACCAACGTGACTGTATGATCATGTACTAGAGGGATGAGGAAAGCTGAGGCAAAAGCCTTGAACATCAAGTGAAGAACTAAGGAAGTAATTTTTAAAATTTAACCACAATCACTAGGATGCTCTGGTTAAAGGAATAAAATAGGATATTGTGCAAACAGTGACCTTAATTCTCTACATTGTCATAAGCCTGATACTAAAATATGATATAATTATTTTAGGAAATCACTGAAACTTTTGAAGCTCTCAAGCTATTTTGTTTCAAGTGTTCTTATACAAGGAGTCACAACAGGAAGAAAGGTATAGATGCCATCAAATTAGATTACCAGAAAAACTCTCTCTATTTTACTTTATTTAATGTGACACATAAAGAAAACCCTGCACAAATATCTGTCTTTAATTTCTCTGGTGTAAAAAAAGAAATATATTGTGTCTGGCAGAATGAAACAGATGAAATAGCCTGGGTGCATTTTAAAAAAGAAGGGGGGGGGTCTAGAAATCAGACGCATACAATGAGCCTTCAAAGCCACTCCAGCAGTAGGGATAAATAATTTAATAAACTCAACTTCATATTCTTTTTATCTCCCCAGTGTAATAAGCACATATTAAAAAAAAAACTTTAAATTCATGAATGCTTGTGAACAGAACAGCAGCCAGTAGATAATGAAAAAACACAAAACAATATCTATGTGAGCATTTAACATGTGTATGCATATCCTCTAACAGATATATTTTTCCAGATGAAAGGTCACAATTGCTTAAATTTATGAACATGTAATTCAGATTTAAATTAGGTTTTCTTTTTAAAAACACAGAAACCTCGCATTCCTCCATCTCTCAACATAATAGAGTTTTCCTTTAAACCTAATAAGGTGACTATTTGCACATTACTTTGTGTATCTCATAAAGTTAAGTAGGCTTACAGAAGGGAGAATAAGTTACCTAGGAAACAGAACTTCAGGAAAAATTATTTTGCTGTTGTTATTTTGAATGGTTGGAAGTGTTAAGGATCACAATATTTAATTATTATATATTCATTAATAGTCCTAAAATTTATGATAATGGTATGCTTGTGACTTTCTTCAACTTTTTTCATAATAACACATTTTAAAGTAAGGCTGCCTAGTAAATTAAGTGAAATGAAAAAGTCAAATCCCTTAGACTTAAAATTCCAAATACCATTCAAATGCAAGCATCTCAAAATTGTCATTAAATCGTGAGATTCTTGTGGTTTTTTTCCTTCAATTAGGTCAGTTTTCTTCAATTATCATTCTATTCTTGGCTCATGTCAAAGATGTCTGCACAGCATACCAATGAAAACAATTAAGCATTTATATCTAAAGCACAGGAAACACACACAAGCTTTTATTCTAGTACTAACTACTATGATTATATTTATAGTAAAAAAAATAATACAAGTAAGATTGGTGTCATTAGAGTTGTTTTATGAACTTTTCACCTAAGCAAATCAATTTATTTTAAGCTATCTCCATGTATTACACAATCACATGAAATAACTAGTTCAATAGGTCAATTGATAGTTTTAAAAATTACCATAAAATAGTTAAATAAATTGCTCCCACAAAACAAATCTATCTCCAAAGCCTGGGTGAAAATCAGCAGAATTACAGAAAAATATACTATATATTTTAAATTCCTCCCCATAGGTCATTTCAATAAAAAAAAATTAAGGGGTAGAAAACACTCCTCAGAATAGTTTAATTTTTCCCTTTAACAATGAGAGGTGTCTGAGATCACTGAAAGGATCAGCTACAGAAGGCAATTCATTTCACGTGTTCAGTGTAATAGAAAATCACTGTGTTGCAGCAACAAGAAGTACTTGCGCTGGAGTATTATTCCAGGGCGCCCAGTTCACCCACAGTGATAAGAGCGGATGGGTGAATCCTCTGTTATGTAAATCACTGTCAGCTCCCCGCTTGAAGGGTGCTGAAGGAAGCAGCTCAGAAAACAGTCTGGCGTCCTTGAAACCGAATGACTTCACTTCCCCGCAACACTCTAGGACTAACGAGTTTCTTAGCCCTTTTCTCACCATCCATTTTTCTTCTTCAAAGTGCAAATCGTTAGTGAAAAGGCCCTGGTTATACCAATTAGTTTGCACAAAGTGCTTCGGCGTTTAGCTTCGCTTTAACCCAATTAAGCCGCACAGTGAGCCCCGAAGATGCGCCACCTGCGCGCCTGGCTCCAGAGCGGCTGCCCGGCGCCCCTCGCGTCCTTCGCGTCAGGCCCACCCGGACGGCCGAGCCAGGGTCCCCCAAACGGCCCCGGGGCCTCCGCCTCCCAGGCTGCCTCACATTCTGGACAATCGGGGGCATCTGCAGGTAGCCCCCCCAAATCGAGAGACCAGGTCTCAGCCAAGCAACTCTGAGCTGAACGCGAGGGAAAGCCCACTGGGCGCAGGGGCCGGCGACGGCGACCAGGAAGCGCGGGGCTCGGCCGCGACCGCACGTGGGCCCAGCGATTTTCGGGCGGACGGGCGCCGGGGCAGAGAACGTGGCCTAGCGGCCGTGGAGAAACTCCCGACACCAAGTAAGGTTTTAAAATAACCCACAGGCGCGCGCGCACACACACTAAAGCCTGTGGGACACAGAGCAGAGAGAGGAAAGAAGGATGGCCCGGGAGTGCGGAGCAGCGGAAGAGAGGCACAGGGGGAAGCGCGCAGAACCTGCGCTGGGTGGGGACAAAGGTGGCTTTTCCTCAGAGACCACGGCACATCTTCGCCTTCGTGGCCGCAGGTTCTGGGGCTCTGATTTGCCTCCTCTTCCTTCTCTTCCAAATGCCAAAGGGTAGCAGTGCGTTCACCCGCATCGCTGGCAAAGTGAGGACGGGCTGGCGGGTGCTCCCAAGCCCTGCTCCTAAGGGAATGAAAGGTTCTTGGGGGACAGAGTGGATAGATGCTATGAGCCCCGAGTCTAATGTACTATTTTAAGCTAAATCGGAATCTACCACTCTTGGATAACGAGAAAGTATGATGCTCTATGGGTGCAAAGAAGGAAAAAAAAATCAAATGCTTGAGTAAAAAGTGGAAGCCCTAAACAAGATCTTATTACAAGTGGCTCTGAAGGAAAGTACCCACAAACCGGTTCCAGGAGTTATAGGATTTTGTTGGTAAGATTCTTAATTTGAAAAAGACAGCATCTAATTTAAAGGTAGGCAATTAAAAATCTGCCTAGGTTTAAAAACCACTACAGAATCCCTAAGTCGTATTTCTTCTATTTCCTGTACATTAAGGAAACAATCGGTACCACCAGGAAAAAAAAATGTTCCACATAAATCCATTTCTCACTCCTGGTTCTAGGTTCCCAAATTTAGAAATGATTTCTTTCAAAGGTTTCAAAAATGATATTTAAATTAAAAAAGCCCTGGATGACTGCAAATTAATTTTCTTTTAAAACCGCAACCATTTTCCTGTAATCAAATCTATGAAATAATATAAGATTAGAAGTCTACTGTCAGGTGACCACTAAGGACACTTAGGAGAAGACATATAGCCTTAATTATACATCTGTAAACAAGCCAGAAAGCCCAAACCTGCAAATTTTCAGGTTATCTGCCAGTAGGTCTCATCTCTATGATCTCTCCTGAATGTTTACCTATTAAATACAGCTCATTATGAACTCACACTAAAATAATCTCTCGATCACACAGATAGTTTATTTCTCAAATATTTCTGCCAGTGCATACAAAACTTCATGTCCTGGTTATAATGTTGGGCACGTCTATCAAAGTACAAAGAGGACTGCAGATGGGGGGAGGGGTGTACTAAACATTTTTTAAACATCCTAGCTTAAACTGGGGTAGACAACATTTAACAGCAATAATTGTCATATTTAACAACTACAAATGAGGAAAAAACAAATTAAACACTGCATAACATAAAAGAAATCATTCTGGTATCAGAACATCCAGAAAAATCACACAGGTATTAGTAAGTCCATCTAAGCCAACTTGCATATACATGAAAGAGCAAACTCCCAACCTACATTCAAAAGGCCCTCGAGGATTAACAGACATTAATTATCTTACTCTAAATGCAAGTTAGTGACTTTTGTTTCAGAAAACCCCATCTAGTTCACCAATTGATGGATGAACATTAGTACACCTGTATTTGCATTTCATCGGTAAAAAGACAAGCAGGGTTTTCAGCACAGAAGAGAACCACTTTGCCAAGTCTTTTCAAAACGTCAATATGCTTCAATTAATACCAAAGCTGAGAGATTCCTCTTGATTTCCAAGACTGTCTAGGTGGCCTGGGTGGTTTTCTGCCGGCAGCAGCCTCCTACCTTCAGTTTGTGTGCCTATATCCATGAGGGGGATTAATTAGCCGGGTTGGAGCTCACGGAGGCTGTCGTGACGAGCCCAGTGGCGATTGGCCGCCAGCCTGCCTGGCCCTGCCTTTATAATTTCCACACGAGTGCATCTGGGCTCTTAGACAAACCAACAGCAGCTTCTTCTGACACATACACACGCACACTCACCCCCGACACACACTCAGCACACTTTTCCTCCATCTGATTAACAGTCCTGCACACACAATGATTACAGGAATGCGTAAATAAATACGGAAAGGGTTGATTATTTTGACTACTGGAAGAGCTTTGCTGGGTCTCAGCGCAACTTTTGTTTTTATTACTGAGAAGGTGATCTCTCCTTGCGTTTCTCTCACACAAGGATTCTTTAAAAGAGGAAGAGAAACAGAGGGGGTAGAACAATCTTTCACTTTAAGATCGGCTGGGCTCAAAGATAAAAGGAAGGGGAACGCGGCCGCTAGGAATCCACCCGCTGCAGCACTTCGGAAAGACGTTTCTGATACATTTCTGAGCGCGGCGGCCCGTTTCTCCACCGAAGTTGGCTCCAGCTCTAGCAGCCGCATTGGATCCCACAGCTTACTGCGAGACTCCGGTGTACAATCCGGATCTCTGCCCCAACATGATCGCGGCTCAGGCCAAGCTGGTCTACCATCTGAATAAATACTACAACGAAAAATGCCAAGCCAGGAAAGCTGCCATTGCCAAAACTATCCGGGAAGTCTGCAAAGTAGTTTCCGACGTCCTGAAGGAGGTGGAAGTGCAGGAGCCCCGATTCATCAGCTCTCTCAACGAGATGGACAATCGCTACGAGGGCCTCGAGGTCATCTCCCCCACCGAATTTGAAGTGGTGCTTTACCTTAACCAAATGGGGGTGTTCAACTTTGTGGACGACGGCTCGCTGCCCGGCTGCGCGGTGCTGAAGTTGAGCGACGGGCGCAAGAGGAGCATGTCCCTCTGGGTGGAATTCATTACCGCCTCCGGCTACCTCTCGGCGCGCAAAATCCGGTCCAGGTTTCAGACGCTGGTGGCTCAAGCGGTAGACAAATGTAGCTACAGGGATGTGGTAAAGATGGTGGCAGACACCAGCGAAGTGAAACTGAGAATCCGAGATAGGTACGTGGTGCAGATCACCCCGGCTTTTAAATGCACCGGGATCTGGCCGAGGAGTGCTGCCCACTGGCCACTTCCCCACATCCCCTGGCCGGGACCCAACCGGGTGGCGGAGGTCAAAGCGGAGGGGTTCAATCTCTTGTCCAAGGAGTGCCACTCCCTGGCCGGCAAGCAGAGCTCAGCCGAGAGCGACGCCTGGGTGCTGCAGTTCGCGGAGGCAGAGAACAGACTTCAGATGGGGGGCTGCAGAAAGAAATGCCTCTCCATCCTCAAAACCTTACGGGATCGTCACCTTGAACTGCCAGGCCAGCCCCTGAACAATTACCACATGAAGACTTTGGTTTCCTATGAGTGTGAAAAGCATCCCCGGGAGTCAGACTGGGACGAGTCTTGCCTGGGTGATCGGCTTAACGGGATTTTGCTGCAACTTATCTCCTGCCTGCAGTGCCGGCGGTGTCCTCACTACTTCCTACCAAACTTAGATCTGTTTCAAGGCAAACCTCACTCGGCTTTGGAGAACGCTGCCAAACAAACGTGGCGACTGGCAAGAGAGATCCTAACCAACCCGAAAAGTTTGGAAAAACTTTAGAGGACAATGTAATCGAGAGCCGAAATGTGATGACTATTCTCAAAGTTCTCACTGAGTGTAAACTTCCTGTTCGATTCCAACCTAGTGTTCCACTTGACAGTGCAAAGAATCTCTTCCTTAAAAAGGAGTACTCATACAATGTTGAGGCATCATCTCACCCACCCCTCCAAGGGAAGAAAAAGAAGCAGGGAAAGCGGATGGAGAAAACCCCAAACCCACAAGTATTAGAAGACTTCTTTACAAAGGATTTCATATCTCCCTTGAAAAGTACACAGTAACACCCGGAAAACAGCCTGGCTGTAATGCAAGACCACAATGAACACTGCCTAACTATCAAAGGATTATAGCAATCCTGGTGATTTAGATGCATCTGGCTGTGAGTAAACACGATTTGGATATGCCATCTGAAGGAAAGTGTAATGTATATTTTGATTTGTAACAAATATTGTGATCTCACATTGTCTTTGAAAGTGTGGATGTTGGTGTTTTGTGATTTGGTGAACAGAAGTTAAATTGCCATTTTGGATACTTCCAGACATTTTCCACTAACAAAGATTTAAAGGTAGATTTCCTCCTGGTACTTTGACCCATCTTTGGAAGTGTCTGAACTTTAAAAAGTTTACATTTTGTTTCAAATATATTGCTTGTTCTATTTCTAACATTCCATAAATATACTTGAAATGTTATTTAAATATATTCAAAGAAAGTTGAATTCAGCTTATATAATAACGCTTGAATATCTGAATTATATATTTGAAAAATGCACTTGAAATACACTGGATAATTACTTTTGTGATTTAGATTTTAATTTCTGTTGCTGGTTTTTATTTAATTAGAAGCTAATAAATGAAGTAAAATAAAAGTTGTTGTGTTTCACTTTAAATTGTTTTTCGGTCAGAAGATTAATGTTTCATTTTGAAAACTGAACCCACTTGACTATTTTAAACATTGTGAGAAATACGCTAATGAAATTATTAAAAATAAAATCTAAAATATTAGAGAAAAGCTTTTTATATAGCTCCAGAAGACAATGATCTACTGTCAGTTGCTGACTTTTTATGAGACTATTTCATGCTACAACAGACACAAGTTAAATTTATCTTTGAAAGCTTGCTCTTCTGGGCTAATATTTCTGAAGAATTTTTGATAAATATAAGGATGAAATATGTCATGACAGTCAAGGTTGCTGAGTTAAAAATCATACTAACTCAGAGAAAATGAACTTAACAAAGTTCTAATAAAACTTCTGAAATTTGTATATGAAAACTAACTATGCTAATAAAATGAAGATAATTTCTGACCTATTTTATGTCAAACCTTATTTTATGCAGGAAGGGTTCCACTGGCAGGATAAATGAATCAGAAATCCAAAATTACTTTTTACTTCATAGAGCAAGCCAATGATAAAGGCATAAAGACAAATTTTAAATTATCTAAAATCAAATATATTACATTTAAAACTCATTTTCAAAATTCAATTCTTTTGGATCCAGAAGTGAAAGAAGTCCTGTGACTGTCCTTCAGAGTATTTTAATTGTCAACAAGTGCAGGAAGGACTAATCACCTATGGGCCTTAAGGTAGTTAGTTAATTCAGGTGGGGGTAAATTTTAGAATTTCAATTGCTATTCTACAAATAGTGTTTTATGCTGCTTTATTTCTCTATATAAATTAAATATAAATTATACACTTCTGGATCTATGGCAGCATTTGTCTTTGACTAGTTTAGAATAACTGCCTCTGAAAAATACTTTAAAGGAAGATCTTTGTAAAATGATGCTTGAATATCCAGCATGACACGTTCTCTGAATTCTTATTCTCAGGAAAAAAAGTTTACAAATTGCACAATAACAAAAGTTAAAACAACAGAATTGGTTTTCAGAAGAGAGTGCAGAGTAATAGAGCTGCCAAAACCTCACGTTTTAAAAGTTACACAATAAGATATAATAAACATTTATGCATTTCAAATCATCCAAATATGAATTGCCTGGCATTACACTCACAGAAGAATACAAACTAAACATCTGAGTGCCAGTATATACTGTGTATACACATTTTAAATCAAAGCTTCTCAGAAAATCAGTTTCTCTTCCTTTTAAATTCACATATAAAATCCACTTTTATTTCAGGAGGTGAAAAAATGGATGTAATAAGGGAGATGAATTTATATCCAAATCCCTGCCCTTTTTCTTATAACCTTTCAATAAAAAATAAGTCATATTGCAATGCACACTTTTGGAAATCAAAAGTGATCTTGGTAAGAAATTTCCAGAGACCTTTCCCAGTCTTCCCCAAGAGCTGGAGATGCTGTACCCCAGAGACTTGGGACAAATTGGTTCAACTATCAAATCTGACCAAGTGCACACAAAGGCACTCATGGACAGACTGTTAAAATGTACAAAATGTGCATGATCTGGTAATACAAGATTTTAAATCGCTAATATATTCTTCAATCCCATGAAATAGAACATGTGTGTTATTTCATTCATTTTACTTTCTGCAAGAAAGATGGGAATGTGCTCCCCTCCCCCACTGTCATTTAAAACCAAGCAAAATTGAAAACCACTTCCTGCCACAAAGCCACCAGCACTGCAAACGAAATTACTTTAACTCACTTTCGTGTCGATCTTCTTGAAGGCAGGATCATCCTCATCTACCTCGAAGTAGATTTCTGTCGTGGTGATGGAGAGAGTCCCTTTGGCCACCACCACGGGAGCGATGAGCTGGGCAGGGGTGCTGAGAACTACTGGGCCTGAAAGAGAGGGCACTGGAGTCAGGCTGCGCTTCTGTGCCCCTGACACTCCCTCCCCGAAGGGTACCACAGGTTTTGATTTTTAAAGCTGCACTAAAAAAAAAAGTTGTCTATATTATGCGGCAAACTCCTTTCATGTGAGATGGGTCTGCTTTGCTTTTTATGCATTACCTTATAACGCGACTAGAGATAAATAATTCTATAAAACCCCAAAAGGTCAGCATACCGAAAATGTGGCTCTCAGCAAGCGGGTCTGCACCCGCCGCCTAGAAGTCCTGTATGGTTGGTGAGGCGCTGCCATTAGCTAACTTAAAAGTGCAGAACAGACTCTCCAAGGCCCCAATTCTCCATTGAGCGCCAGCCGCGTTTCCAGAGACCCTGGGCAGTCAGCGCTGGCCCCCAAAACCACTCGTCGTGTAAAGCCCGTCAACTGGGCAACAGCATTCCCCCAGGATGGGCGGGAGGACGTGAAGGGGTACAGGGTCTAAACACATAAATTCCACTGCACTAACGGGTTTGCATCTTGCAAGAAAAGGAATACCGGCGTCCTAAAGCGCACTGCACATCGACATACGCGCAAACATGGACATCAAATATTTCTTAGGCACAAAAGAACGAAAATTGTAGCACTTATTTTTCTCACCGAGAAAAAGTCAAAAATGATGAAATTGTAAGACGCCTGAACAAAACGATGGTCAGAAAAGCATTAGAAACGTGCTGTTCCTCAACTCTTGGGACTAGAGGAACTAACCTTCCGTAAAAGATGTTCAAAACGTGTGCATACTAAGGTGCTTACTTCGAATTTCCACTTGAATTAAAATCGAAAATTACAAATTTCATTTATTAGAATATTAATTCAAAGAAGGATTACTTAACTGCCCTTTAAAATTTCCCGAAGGGGAGGCATTCTTTTCTATCATAGACTTAAAATTCAAACTTAGAAATCAGAAAAAATGTATTCGTTTTTCAGCAGCAAGGGCGCGTTATACTCCCTTCCACTCCCCCCCCTCAAATGCACACAAATGAGTCACAACAACAGCAGGAGAAAGGCAATGAAAACGTATGTCCCCTGCGGCCCCTCAGGCCCGGGCCCCTCGGCGGCGGCTCCTCGCGGGGAGACCGGCCCTCGCCGCCGCCGCCGCCGCCGCCGCCGCCACGGCCGCCTCGAGCAGGCCTGTCCCGGCCGCGCGGGGACTGCGGCGGACTTCGCGTTTCCAGGGAGCAGCACACACCGAATCCGCGACCGTCCAGCACAAAGCCGGGCGTTTCTGCTGCAGGAGGACCGGAGAGGAACTGGCCGCTTCTGTCGCGCTTAAAGGGGTGGCTATGAAGCACACTGTGTCAGTCTGCACCCCTGATCGTGACCGCCCGGGTCAGGCTAAGGCTAAGGCCCAGCTTTTATTTTACTGCTTTCTATCCCGGAGGAGCCCGCACTGGGGTGCCCGGGCTCGGGGCGCGCGGATTCCCGCCTGGGTCTCGGGCAGGCAGCTTCCGCCCGAGCCGGGCGGAGTCGGGGTCCACCTCGGCTCCATAAGGTTTTCTTTCCAAAGGGCGAGGCGGCCGATCTGAAGCGCCACTTTAAAGGCTCATCAATCTTAATCTAGGTTGCTCAAGTAATTATGCCCGAATCTCTTGTACGATTACAAGTGGATTTGGGTTTCTATTCCCCAGGCCCTCCTTTGTGTTTATTGGAGGGTCTGTGCGCGCGCTCGGCGGCGCCTCCTGCCTCCGCGCCCTCCTCCGAAGCCCCCAACGCTCGGGCCGGTTAGAACCGCTCCCTTAACCCTTAAGCCACCGGGACGCTCTTCTAGATGCCACTTTTCACAGTTCCCTTCAGGAGAAACCCAGGTTTACTTGTGACTGGGGCGAGGTGAGAAAGAAGGTGACCTGATTCACATCGGAAACAAAGTGTCTTCTTACACATCGCTGAACCTTGATAAAACCTCAGAAAAGTCGTCATTCTAAACACAGAAAGCTAGTGATTGCTGGTTTAACAGAGATTTCAAGCATCTGGAGCCAAGAATGGCCAAAAACATTAAACATGGCGAGCTGCTTCTTTCTCTTAAAAAGTAATTTAACATATCCAAACAAATTGGGAAAGAATTTAAAAATCACGATACAGAAACATACAAACTGATTTACCGAAATATACAGTGTTAAGAATTTTAAGTACACAATTCCGTGAACTTTTAACAGGGAACACATTTTCTCTACCTGTTTTTCTGCGTTTCTGAAAGGCGAGTGCGTTTCCTTTTGATTTGACTCCAATTCTCATTCTATTGAATGGACTTTTCTGGGGGTTCATACAAGGGCTATGAACCGGTCTTTCTTTAAGAAAGACAATCATGAAATATTCAGCCTTAATAGTGTGTCATTTTTACCCTTGTCCTTTGGAAATCTCCAATTACAACTTCCAATTCCATAGCATGTTTAAGAGCGCTGAGTCTTTTTGTTGTAGCCTTCAGGGAGCAACCAGCCGCAGAGAGAATAGAGTTAATCCACTACAGCAATACAGAGAGGGGATTATGTTTTAATCCCCTTTGGGGGAGCCTCTGGATCTTAGGGATCCGATATTAAAATGTTTACATAAGGCACAATCACAAACCAAAAAAAAAAAAAAAAAAACCACCTTGGATCCGTTTCCCAATAAAAATAGTTTAGAAAGGGCAGCATGTCTGGATGTCAGAGAGATGATGATCTGGCAGATTCTGTCCTAGAAGATAACTAGGTACAAATTTAATCTCCTAACTTTGTTTCATGTAGTGAGTTTGTAGATATATTCATTCTAATGACTTCTATGGCAATACAAGGATAAATTATATCAATGTCTTTAAGTACATACAGAAGTAAAGTGATGGTTATTAAAAGATAGTTAAACAGATGGATGGAACAAAACCTCCTCCCCTTGTACTGCTGCATACAATGGTTTAAAATTCCACCATCTAACGTGGTAATTAAAGGAAAAAATAAATGTCATTTACCTTTTGGAATTGGCACTGTAATGTTTAGGAAATATTGATCCATTCCTATATTTGAAAGAAGGATAGGGATATTACTTGCCATTAATTTAAATGCTAATTTAAAATCTGAACTAGAGCAAAAATCACTCAAACATGATGGAAAGAGTCTTTAGAAGAAGGAACGTCTCTTTAGAGCTATGGGATCTTTAATCAGTTGAGATGGTAAATGTAGAGTAGAAAATACATATGTTTTATATTTGAGAAGGGAACTGTTCATCAAACATATTTTAAAACTATAATGTTAAAAAAATACTTGTGGGTTTGGAGGATTCTCCTGACAACAAAGTTGTAAGTCGAGAAATCTTAATAATAATCAACTTTTAAATAGAACTTTACAGTTCACAAAGTTCTTTTACATTTTTACTTAACTACTGGTTCAGTATTCACAATTTTGGACATATGGATGTGTCAATACCCTCCCGCCAAAGACCACCAGGAGCACAACTGCAGTTGAGAAAGTTGGGTTTATTGCTCAATGCAGTGAGGGATATATTGGAACTTCGGGGCGACTGAGTGTAAAAAGGGACTTATTGTAGGGTCTGGGCTTTGGTTAAGTGATTTGGGGAAGTATTCAAGGACGCAGGGCTTGACCGGGCTCTGTCAGGGAAGAGCGGTAATTCTGTGACCTGGTGTCTCAATAAATCTTATCTAGGACTAGACCTAGGCTAAAACTACCTGGCAAAGAAGTAGCAGTCCTTCGTACAATCAGGAGAAAGGGATGTTAATATTCAAGCAGTGTGTAAAGAGACCTTGTTTTTGTCTGTGCTTAGACAAAATTAAAAAGTTGTCTTTTGCCTCACATCATCACGTGACCTCGTCTGATGCTGATGTTCTGTGAGGTTGTTTATGTCCAACACGAGAACACCCTTGTCAAGCTGTGAGCCCCAGGCCAGCTCCCAACAGTACCGAGGCCTCCTTGTGAGGGTCAGGCCGGTTTCCTGAGGTCAGGGGCTGCTTTTCTTTTTCTCAGATACAGGAATTAATCATTTTTTGGGGGGGTGGTCAACAGCTTTCCTGCTATTAAAAGGCAATTATGGTGATTAAATTCTCAAACAATGCTAAAATTCTTTTCAAATTTCAATACAGAGTATGACAAAGAATATATATTGGGACAAGGAGTTGAAGTAATTAAAATTGGCATTGTTACAATTATTTGATGAACTTTCAGTTCGCAAAAACTATATTTACATGAAATTATGATGTATTATAGAGTCACCTGAATATTTGCTAAACTTAGTTTAATATTAATGAAAGTTTTATTAGCTATATGGATTAACTCCAACCTCAAGTACTTTGAAACCACATGTTCAATTTGCTTTTGGAACATGAAAAAGACCACTATTTTGGGATAATAAGCATTGACTAATCTTTGTAAAATTACTCAACTTAAAATCCTGAAATTATTTAGAAGAAATAAAACTAATTTGAAATCCTTTGTGTTTAGTGAAAAAGGCCATTATTCCAAAAAATCTTTAAGACAGAAATAAATAAATTTTTACAATGACTCCTATAATGTGATAAAATTTGTAGGAAAATAACTCACAGCATGAGTGACTGAACATATCTAAAATATTACCACTGCTTTGAACTTTAAATTAATAGTTCCATACTTAAAAATAATTTAAGAAAATGTTTGCCCCACAGAATTAGAAGAGTAAAATGCTTTAATCTCAAAGTAATTTAAAATAAATTATTGAAGAATATGAGAAAGTTGGAACTTTGTTTGGGATTCTAGGAAAACTTCAGGCATTAAGAAAATGGAGAAGTTTGTGCCTAGGGGAGAGGAGAGTTCGGGGGAAAATACTGCAGAAGATCTTAGATTCCCTT